GAACTTCTCGTCTCTTCTGGTCTTCGCCTGCTGTTCCGTGGGTTGCGCTGAACATGGACTGCGATCTTGTGGACCACAAGAGCGGCGTTTGACAGAACTCAGCGATCTGGGCGCTGACGTCTGCGCCAGACGCTGAGTTTCCCACCACTATTGTCTTCTTTCCGGTGAAGTCCTCGGGCTTCCGGTAATATTTCGAATGGTTAATGCGACCGGGGTGCTGTGCAGCCCACTCTTTGATACCGGCCATGGGTGGGATGTAGGGAACTATAAAGTGGCCATTTGCTACTACAACTGCGTCATAGACTTCGGAAGTATCTTCGTTCGTAAGTAGATTACGCGTAGTTACTTCCCATGGGCTGCTGGCGACATCGAGGTCCACTGGACTGACATTGATGACTTGTGTACAGTATCGAACGAGGTCTTGCACATCCGCGGAGTAATCGTCGATATATTTAAGTACTGTCTCATGAGTAGGAAAGAGTTGACTATCCGCGGGCCAATCCAGGTCTTGGAAGCCCATTAGTCCTCTAGGTATATTCGTTTCGAGCTTTTCGTACATTGGCGACAAAAAGGAGGGAATTTTCGAAGTTCCGTTGATGCCATCCGTATCAATGTTCCCATTCATTACTGCATCTTTGGATTGCCACTCTGGTTTTTGAACGTCTTTATTGGGGTTGGTCTGAGGTATGTCGAAGAGATTCTCGTCCCGCTGTTCGCCTGTATATATCCAGATCCCACCTGATCGACTCCGTTGTTCAAACAGCACGATCTTATCAAAAGCCTTCTCAGCTCGGAGGTATTTTGCTGCCGCCACACCCGATGGTCCAGCGCCTACAATGGCTATCGTCCTAGCTCTTATTGATGTTCTACTGCTATCGGAAGACATCGTAGCAAATTTGGAGAGGGCGATAGGACAGGAATGACGGAATGAGAGCCAAGTACGCGCAGACGCAACAAAAGTTCTAGCCAAAGGGTATCTCGGAAACAGCAAGGAGACCATGGGAAGAAGTTGATGACATGGAATGACGCCGAGACATGGGAGGTGGAAAGCGAGGATCGGAGCTGATCGGAATGGCCTTCCGATCGGAACTCGGCGAGGCTGACGCGCATCATCGACTTGTGACATGAGCTTGCGCATACAACCACCGGTGGTCAATTGATGATTCGGCCCTAACCAAACTTTATTAACTCACACTCCTTGACCGTTACACCCCTCATTGACGTATTCGTCTCCTCTTCTCCCATTCCTACCCAGCAATGCTACGCACACTGCGACTTGCACGCGTTTCACCAGCCCCACGACCCGTCCGAAGCTTCTCAACCAAGATTGCAGCCATGGCACCACTGCGCATCGGCTTCGTGCCAGGTAGGCACGTCATCAATACTGTTGCATCGCCCGCTGACGGAAATAGAACACTTCTCCACACCGCTCGAGTTCGCGAAGAAGCACTACGGCCTGGACGCGAAGCTCCTCCCGTTCCCCAGTGGCACAGGGCACATGGTCACGGCCCTGCAAGCCGACGAAATCGATATCGGAGTTGGCCTTACCGAAGGCTGGATAGCGGCACTGGGAAAAGCACAGGCGGCTAAGCAGGACGCTGGCTTCAGCGTGGTGGGGACATACGTCGAGACTCCGCTCTGCTGGGCCATATCCACAGGCGCCAAGAGGGATGAGCTCAACGGAATACAAGACCTCAAAGGCAAGAAAGTCGGCGTGTCCAGGATAGGAAGTGGCAGCTATGTGATGAGCTTCGTGCTTGCCGACCAGCAAGGGTGGCTCGACACTTCGTCCAGCAGCCCACCATTCCCCGTCGAGGTGCTGAACACGTTTGCCAACCTCCGCGATGGAGTCAACGACAGCACGGCCGACTTCTTTATGTGGGAGCACTTCACGTCGAAGCGCTACTACGACAACGGCGAGATCAAGCGCATCGGCGAGATCTACACACCCTGGTCCTCGTGGAAGATCGTCGCCGCAAACCATCTATTGAACCCGAAGAACTGGAGTTCGGCACCCAACGCCAGCAAGCCAGTGCTTACTGGGGAACTCGAGGACGTCATGGACAAGATCAACAAGGGAGTCAAACACTTTGAGGAGAACCAAGAAGAGGCCGTCCAGTACATTAGCACCAAGCTCGATTACTCGGAAGAGGATGCGCGAGAGTGGTTGAAGACTGTTCGCTTCGCCAAAGATGTGAAGGGCGTGGACAAGGAGGTTGTGAACAAGACCGTTGGCATACTGCAGAAGGCTGGTGTGTTGGGCGGGCAGGTTGATCAGTCCGCTATGATCGGGCTCGAGCGACATGCGGCATGAAGCTAATCTGTGCAAACCGCTGAATATCATGCCACGCGACTCGGACAACGGTTCGCGCACCGTGCCCAATAGCTCTAGTGTCGGCAAGCACACCGTGCAATAGGATCGCCAGTGCATGGTCGGAACGATGTCAAAGCTCGGAGATTTGGGTTCCATGCTTTTTGTTTGTTATGTATTGCATATCAGTCAGAGCATCCGTCTGCAACTACCAACATACCGAAATGCCTTCACCAGTACAGTCACATCGAAGAGTCAACACAACGCACAAGGCAATGCATTCACCTGTTTCACCTCTGCAGAGTGCGACTTCACAGCACCGCGAAGCATTTATACTCGCCGGCAGGTTTTCATGGAGTGCCCTTGGAGATTCTCGCACAGCTACCTGCGCTTCGACCACCGACCTTCCACTGCAACGAACTCTAAAAGCCTTCGCCTCCGAATCCAGCCCAACACGAAGAAAGCCTACTTTCGTCAACTTCTCCCGACCACTACCCTCGCAATGCCAACCGGCATTCCAAAAGAGCTAGAGTTATCTCACCTCGACCAGCAGCCCCACATACGCGTATATGGCCGCTACTACATCATCTTTCCCTTTCCGGACATCAGTCGCGCCCATGAAGCAAAAGAGGCGCTGCACAATGGCTTCAAAGAAGTTCTGAGAAAGTTTCCATATCTCGCTGGCACTGTGGACTTAGACCCCTCTACCGACCTTCTCCGTGTGCAATACCCCGACCCCATCGATCTAGAAGCTGAAGCACGCCGTATATTCACAGTCAGTTACGACGATGCACAACATGACTACGATTCGCTTGCGAAGGACGCCTTCCTCCCAGACGAGTTGCCCGCTACTATCTTCTGCCCAAACGAACTGAAACACCACGCTGGATTGGGCGAAGATGCGTATGCCGAAAGGATGACCAGCTTTTCGAAAGGACCTTTGCCAATCTTCGCGGCGCAGGCTACCTTCATTCCTGGAGGTCTGATATTGAGCGCCTGGTGGTATCATGCCGTTATCGATGGCACTGGTAATGGAAGAATTCAAAAGATATGGTCTGATGCGGTACGAGATCTCAATGCTGGAAAGAACAAATTACCGCCAGTTCGTCCGCCTGCCAGATACTACCGTGTGCCAAGCTACAAGGATCAGCTCCAACCATTGAAGGATATCGTCAAAGAATGGAACGTCGTACCAGACCCGTCATCAGCGCGTCGAGCGCTCGCAACGCTGGTTCAGGAAGCCGATGCAGCAGGCCAGTCTATTAATACACCTGAGAAGCCATTCGCGAAGCGCTTTGAGGTCCGCGAAGGACCGGATGAAGGACCCAACAAAGTCGTTGCCGAGATGTTTCGCTTCTCATCGCAAGCTATCGAAGAGTTTCGCAACGATCTATCCATCAAAATCGGGAAGCGTGTATCTAACTTCACTGCACTGTCAGCTATCGTCTGGGCAAACGTTATACGTGCTCGCTCGAAATCGATCACCGCCTCGGGTAACACCCAGTCGACCCTTGCTGTTGTTGTAGACCTCAGAAAATTCCTTCCACTGCCCTTCTCGTCCCCGGATTATCTCGGCAACCTGGTGCTGTCTGCTACGCCTACCTTGAATCTTGACGGCGCTGCGGCCTCTCTTGAGGACATCGCAGCCAAGATCACAGACGCTCTGCACGCCATCAACGCGACATGGGTAGTCACTCAAATCAACAGCGTCCTTACCAACCCTGCCGAAGCGCAACAATCCCTTCTGAAGTTCCCCAAAGGCCCAGACCTATACATCACTAGTTGGCAAAGAATGGGAGCTGACAGGGAGTGGTGCATCCCAGGCACGAGCAAGCCAAATGCAACTGCTATTCGGCGAGCGGCATGGGTCAGCGAAGGTGGCATCGTGGTCTTGCCCAGGGAAGAAGACAAAGAAGGACAAGAGGGGGAGCCGTATGAGATCATGATCAGTCTTACAAAGGCCGACATGGAACGCTTCAGGGCCGGATTAGAAGATGCTAGATGGTTGGTCGACTCGTCATATAAGCCAGGCAAGGTCGTCACCTGGCGTGACATCTTCTCTCGCCGTCTTACCGGATTCGGACTGGCCTACGGTGGTGCGCTCTGCCTCTTGACTGTGGTGATATGTGTGTGCACTCTCTCACAGTCTGCGCGGATAGCTGGTGTTGCACAGGGCCCTGCTCAGGAAGAACTCAGGTAGATAGGCTTTGTTCAGAGTGTCGGATCTCTTATAGGTGGTCTGGCATCGGATAGGGAGTTACCCTCGTGACGACGAAGGAGGTGAAGAGAACAAGGTGAAGGCGCCTGGGATCGTGTGGCCAGAGTGGCTACACGTGCCGAATGTAACCTAAACCAGCATCTCAGGGCGTCCTCAATTGAACTACTCATGCATACTGCATAAACATCCTTTGATGTCTCCATTATTCCTAATTCGTGGTATTTGCTCCCGGCTTCGCAGCAAACGCGATCGTGCCTCGCTTGCGCGATTACCTTCACCGCTCGGACCTGTACCTGCAGTTTCATGACTAAAAGTGACGATCCTCCGCGGCATGCTACCCGCTAGCGCCCCGTCAAACATCGACCCTGAGAAAATCCAATTGCTCCATGGCACGGCCAGCTTACACCAGCGCCCAATTATTAGGCACTATCATCACTATCGAAATACCCTACATATTCCCATACAAAAGTCATGGATCCCGAAAGAGAGAGTCTGCTCTCATACCACGAGACGCAGCGTGAAAGAACACAACAGCTGCTTTCGCACGAGATCACAGCGAGTGCGCAAGCTAATGAGGATTACCCTGTTGATCATGGCAAAGTGGCGTGGATGCAGGTTCTTGGTGGATTCATTCTGTTCGCGAACAGTTGGGGCTTACCCAATGCCTTTGGCGTCTTCCAAACATACTACGTCGACACCTTGATGCCAGAGCAGGACGCGTCGCGAATTGCCTGGATCGGATCGATTCAGCTTTTCTTCACTACTATCGGTTGTTTGCCTGGTGGCATGCTGCTTGATCGGGGATACCTCAAAAGTATCATTGTTGTTGGCACGGGCCTCGAGCTACTGGGTTTGATCCTGACTTCTTTCTTCAAGAGCTATTGGGCCATCTTCTTCGCTCAGGGAGTGTGCATGGGCATTGGCAGCGGTTTGATGGCGATCGTGCCTGTCGCTGTGCTAGCCATGTTCTTCGAGAAGAAACGCATGCTGGCTACTGGTCTTGCATCGACTGGTGCTAGTGTTGCTGGTATTGCTTACACACTCTCCTTACGCTCGCTCTTCCTCAGCGTCGGGTTCGCATGGGCTGTTCGCATCTTTGCGCTCATCATATTGGTGACCAACGCCGTCGCTTTTGTGGTGATGCGCTTGCAGCTTCAGTACGGATCCAAGGGCTCCAGCTTCGGCTTTCACCACTTCAAGGATTTGTCATACACGATCTTCGTCGTCGCGTTCACGCTGTTCGTCGCGTCCTCGTTTGTGCCGTTCTTCTTCATTCAGGAGTACGCTATCAAGCTCGGTGTGTCGAAGGATATGGCATTCAACCTGTTGTCGATCATGAACGCAGCCAATATTTTCGGGCGTTTTGTTCCAAACTTCATCGCCGACAGGTACGTTCTCATCATCCACTCTTCTTACTAGCCCAGTACTCACAACTTCAGGTACGGCGGTGTCAACACCCTGCTTCCTCTCACCGTCGCATGCATCATCACCCTCTGTATGCTACCCCTCGCTCAGGAATTGAACGGTCTCATCGCTATCAGCATCGTGTACGGCTTTCTTTCTGGCGGCGTGATCATTCTTCCTGGTCCCACAATTACGAATCTCTCTCCCAACAAGGCCTCAATTGGCGTACGTCTCGGATTGGCGTATCTTGTTGCTGCTTTCGGCGGGCTGCTCGGTAACCCTGCCATGGGCGCACTCAAGGGCGAGGGAAATGGTGCGGTAGAGAACTTCAAGGGTGTATGGTTCTGCGCGGCAGGCGCAATGGGTGTGGGTGCCGTAGCTCTTATCGCCACACGATGGCTCAAGTTGGGTAGCATGTTGGCTGCAGGCAGAGTATGAAGTTCGATGGGAAACCTCCAACTCTGAACTTCCTAAAAGGCAGGTGGTCGTAGAAGAATGTCAGCTTACCGTGGCTAATCTAATCACGCCCAACGATGCAGGCTGAGTCGGTGTTGTCTACGCAGCCAATCACATACTGCCACCGATTAGATCCTTAGTGGGAGACGCGCATGAGGCAGTATTCTGAAGATCTGGATCACTTGATAGCTGCCATGTAGCACTGCATCCCGAAGAGGAAACATTCCAAATCCAGCCGACACAGTATGGAACGAAGACGATATATAAGATGAGATACCGTCAGCATACTCTGAAATGCCACCAGTACCCTAGTCATAGATTGGGTGCATCCCGGCAAGCGAAAATGCTACTCTTTGCCTCCACCACCTCGTTCCTCTCAATCCTCTCCACTCTCCCCATCACACACGCCGCGTTCTACTACCCCACACCCACACGCTCCTTCCTCGAACATATCCTCGTCGACAACTGGGGCGCCTACGCTTCCAATTTCTCCTCCGCAATCACCCCTTGCACGAATTATGTTTCGCAGACCGGTACTACAGGGCGCAATAGTGGTCGCACCACCGCTGCCCAATGGATGCGCGTCATGTTCCACGACTTTATTACCGCGAATGTAACTGCGGGCACGGGAGGTATTGATGCTAGTATTGGGTTCGAGACGGCGAGGGAAGAGAATAAGGGGAGTGCGTTTAACGATAGCTTTTCGTTTTGGAGGCCGTTTGTTGGGGAGGGGATTTCCAGTGAGTGCATCGCTCTTAATGAGTGTCGGGTGATGGAAGTGGTGCTGACGGAGCGGTAGTGGCCGATCTTGTTGCGCTCGGCACGGTCATGTCGAATAATCTATGCGGAGGCGCGCAGATGCCGTTCCGACCTGGTCGCATTGATGCAACAGAAGCTGGAAAGACGACAGGCGTTCCAGCACCAGAGACGGATCTCGAAGAGACTCTGCTGTTCTTCGAGCGCGCGGGGTTCGACAAAGTGGATGCTATTGGGCTCACGGCTTGCGGACACACTCTGGGCAGCGTACACCACGTAGGTATTTGGTTGCTATTCGATTGGGCGAGACTCACTCATCGGTGTAGGGCGGCTTCCCGGAGGCTGTAGACGAGAGCTTCGTCACGCCCAATAACACGAATGGCGGTAGTAACTTCGACACTACACGCGGCGTCTTCGATCCAAATGTTCTCGGCGAATACTTGAACGGCACGGGGAACAAAGGAGGACCGCTAGTTATGTCGTATAACGACACGATGAACTCCGATAAACGGCTTTACGAGAGCGATAAGAATGCGACGATGCAGGCTCTCTTCGCGCAAGGAACAGGCTTTCTTGCTACGTGTGCCGAGCTCATGGGCCGAGCCATCAACACCGTACCTACTGGTGTTCAGCTCTCCGAGCCAATCACTGTCATGCCGGTCAAGCCTGTAAATGCCACGTACGACTTGGGCGAAGATGGGGAGTTGACGCTTTCGGGCAAGATTAGAATCCTCACACCGGCAGGCAGCTCATCCCCGCGATCACTAACTCTTCGCGTGAGCGACAACGAGACAGAACTTAAACCAGAAGCCGAGACGGGAAGCTCAGTTTTTGGTCGCAGTGGTGGTAGATACGGAACTACGACTTACTTCCCCTTCTCGCTTTCTGGACCCGCCATCCAAAATGCTACGTCTTTCTCCGTCCAGGTACCCAAGGTACGGGAACAGACTTTTCGGATCGATAGCCAGGCATTCGTCGTTCCAAGCCTGACAGACCTGAGCGGCACAGCACTCAACACGACAATTGCCCTATGCACCAGGTTTAGGTCGTGTGAAGACCTTTCCGTTCGCATATCCGCACCACAAACACAGCATGGAACGCTGGCGCCGAAAATGAATGGAATGGATATGGTAGTGAGCAAGGCGATGGAGGAAAAGAGGGCATGTACACTTTGCCGGGGGCAGGCTGTTCTGCAAGATGTCCCGACTGGGCTGGTCACTATCGAAGCCTTGTTGGACGGCAAAGTCGTAGATACACTCCTAGTCAATGGAGGGCAGGCCGGGTGGTAAGGTGAAGGGATCTGAAATCGTGTCGCCTCTTGCTGCATTTACGCTGTTGAACTTTCAAGACTAGATGGCTTTCAATACAATGTATATTTCTCCTCTAAAAGATTTTCTTCTAGATTGCGACTCCTATGACAATGCTTACAGTGACGACGTCGACAGTGACCACGGCCGCTCACCAACATCCCACTTCTTAGGCTCTTCGCCCATGTGAAACACCAACTCGCCTCCTTCCGCAATCTCGCTATGTTTCAACCAAGCTCGATCAAGTTCCTGCCCGTTCCAGGTAACCTTTTGCGGGTAATAGCTTGTGCTTGACAGTTTCTGGGCCCGAATAGTCAACGACGTCTCGACTGCCGTTCCACTAAAAAGCGAAATCTTGAGCCAAGAGAACCGGGGAGCAGAAAGAAGGTAAAGCGGCTGAGCAGACACAGGATACATGCCCATGAGATTGAACACCAACCAACTGGGTAGAGCACCACCGTCGATGTTTCCGGGGTATCCGTTACGGTCGTCGCTGTAGAAGTCGTCGACGATAGCTCGAGTCCGATTGACTGTCATCCAGTTCATGCCAGGTACGTAGTTGTAGAGGAATGGTGTCGCAAAGGACGGTTCGTTTCCTGGATTGAAGAGGGCAGAGCCGGCATCGTTGTTTGCGCCGACTGATGTGCCGAAGCCTGGAATGAAAGAGGCGTCTAACCGACGAACGAAAGCCTCGTCACCGCCCATCAGGTCTATGACTTTCGCCATGTCATGTGGTGCGACACTGAATGCAGTCTCCCAAACCTTAGCTTCGTAGATGTCTGCATCCCAACCGCATGTTCCGCAGCTCAGCGGGTCGTACGCCGTGGTGTTCCACGTCCCATCCGAGTTTCTAGGACCTGGGAAGCCAGTAAAAGTACCCGTGCCGTTGAGAGTTGTGTTTGCCATGGGATTCCATTGGTTCTGCCACCAGCTTGCTCGTTCGCGCATCTGATCGATGTCTTCCTGGGACTTCGTGAGTCCAGCTGCCATACTGTAGATCGCGAAGTCATTTTGCGGGTACTCGACGCCACGAGAAACACTGCGGGTGTGGTTGCGCGTGATGAAGCGAAGGGAGAGATAATCGTCCAGTGCTCCTCTGCCTTCCTTCGTGGCGCCGTCGAAAGCGACCGGATCAACATTGCGCTCAGGCAATACGTTCGCGTCTTTCATCACTGCCTTGTAGGCCTCTTGCCAATCGATTCCGCTGTCGAGCTCGCCTCGACCAGTCTCACCGGCAAGTGCATGGACGCTCTTGACGAAAGCGTCCGCTAATACCATGTCTGCGTGCGTGCCGCCCTGAACGCGACCGTTCCAGTTTGCTGCGCGACCGGCGGGGAGGTAACCCTCTTCAGTGAAGATAGAAATGAGACCAGAAAGAATGCGTGAGTACGGCTTCGTGAAGACCAGGTGATACAAGGGTAGCAGGGTGCGATAAGTGTCCCAAAGCGTATAATGGTCATCGTAGTATGGCTTAGCTTCGTTTGACTCCCAATTAGGGCATTCGCCAGTTTTGTCGGTTGGCATCAGGCCTGTCTGATACAGCCCAGAGTAAAGCATTCTCTTCAAAGTGTTATTGTTGCTTGTCGAATGGCCATCATCTCCAATCTGAATCTTGCTCAAGATTTTCTCTTCCCATACTTGCCTTCCTTCGTCAACGACATCCTCGAAGGATTTCGCATCAGGAAGCTCATTTTCCACGTGAGAGCATGCCTGTGCAGCACTAATGTACGAAATGCCCAATTTGGCCTCCAGAGTAAGGGTGCCGTTGACTCGCTGCTCCTTAGGCGACCAGCTGAAAAGAGCGCCGAGGCCCATTCCGCTCCCAGCATAGGACCGGACGTCAGCATACGCGCGCGGCACAGGGCGAGACTTGAAGCTTGGTGGCGAATAAGGGTTGTACTGCCAGCTAAACGTGCCAGCGCCGGGAGTACTGGGAAGTTCTCCCTGAACATAGTCGGATGTTGGGGTGAGCACAGATTCTGCAGGCACACTGAAGTTCCCGCAGAAATGGATCGTATGACTTTCAGGCTGCGGCCAGCCACCCGTGTAGGTCGCTGATCCATGGTATGATGGCAATCCGTTCGAGGAAGACCCGACATGTAGCTGCCCGTGCAGGAACTTTTGAGAGTATGCCATCGAAGAATAAGCTGGCAACACGTGTGTGAGGTCGACTAGGACGTGCGCATCGTGCTCGTTGGCTGACAGGGCTCCGGTCATCGTGGAATCAACATTGACAGTGGAAAGATTGTTTGAAATGACTTCTGGTTGAGGGAAGGTGTATCGCATGAATCCGGTATGGTTACCAGAAGTGATCTCGATCTTGATGCCGTTCTGTAGAGTTGTAGTGAAGAGGCCCACTGTTGCGGACTCCAGTTCCAGACTGCGGTTCTGGGCATAGGTCATGTTGTCGGCAAGGTTAATAGACTCGAGACTGCCATACAGCGGCATCTGCGAAATCAATCCATCTAGATCTTGTTAATACTCGTAGGCGCATCATTTGCGCAAGCAGAGGACTAACAGGTTGGAGCTCCGCCAGATCCGCTGACGTGCGTCATGCTCACTGCTGTTACATTCCCCAATGGTGTGTATCCGGCATTGGCGTCCACTGCACTGCCATTCGGAAGCCCAATGTAGCTCGTGTCAATGCCTGGCTTTGCCATCGCCCATGGCAAACTTGCGCCAGGGAAGGAGTTACCGCCTGCGATGGCGGAACCAGGTTTGGGGCCCACTGTGCCTATCAAAGGGTCGACGAACTTCCACAAAGGTTCTTGAGATCTGCCATGATTGGAAGTCGACAAAACGAATGGTGCCGACTCGAAGACCGTCACCCAAAAGAGCAGTCGCAAAAGAGAGGGCTGATGCCGGCTAGCCATTTTGCAGCACAATCTGGTCCAGCTGTGATTGAGATCGTGTGAGATGAGGAACAAAGCTTGCCATAGCAAGTTATTGTACCCCACGCATTGCGCTAAGGGCAGCCGTTACTAGGTAGTTCCTAACGGCGCAATACAGAGGCGGTTTTATCGGAAGAGCTCGTGCACACATGATCTCGCGAATGGGGAGATTTCGGAGTCGAGTTGGGCGTTCAGGCTCCCCAGTTTTCGGGTCGTCATTGCTCCGTTACCTCCGAATGACGATCCACGTGGAGAAGGACCGAATAGCTGTCTGCCCGGGCGACGGCCTAATTGAGCCGACCTTGATTTCCGCGCACTCTTGACGTAGCCTTCGTATGGACGCGCGACCAAGCTTGTGTTTGGGTAGTTAGTTACAGTTGAGGCTTCCAAGTAAGAGAAGATCGCTGACCCACTTTTGATCAACGGAAGGAGGACTCTTTGGTAGTTTGAACGCGGACATCTCATTCTTTCCATACAAGTCAAGGAATCCGTGTTAGCTACTCAAAAACCAGGGCTATGAGCATATATGTCAGATGCTTCGTTGGAACTTGCGCTATCATCCGACGCTGTCGAGGCATCCTCCGGATCATCCTCGTCCCCACCTTCGTCCGCGGTCTCATCTTCGCTGACCTTTACCTCGGATGCATCGGCATCCTCAGATATCTTACGTGGGTTCCTACAGTTAGCCGTATTACATAGACAGTACTGGTCACCCTTGAACCATTTCGGACCGTAGTCTAGTGTCAGCTCTTCGCCGATAGCGAGTTGTCGCTTCGTGACTATATAAACGGCTCGACGCTCCAGAGAACACACCATCTCTAAAAATTCCGTATTCGGATTGCAAGAGTGGTTGATGAAGCGAGTTACACCTCCGGTATGAAGAGCGTCTATAGAAGCTGTGGCGTGTGTCTGAGTTTGGTCTAAGTTTGGTTTACCGATCGAGATCCCGACGTGATAAGCATCTCTTCCATGAGCTGGAGTTCCATCGTCTTTAGAAGCTATGATCTGGCCTGTGTACTCTCCTACAATGGTAGAGTCGTGAATCACCTTGCGCGCAAAAACCCCGTGACCGCGGGGACCGACGTCCTGTAGCAGTAAGTGAGAGAGCCAGAAATTATGCAGATGCTTTGCCCATGCGCTGTACCCACACATACAATGTGTGACATCTTCTGGTGCTTCGCAGTTGGGGCATGGCTCGATGCAGGACTCGGTCTCATCGACGTCTCCAATAAGACCCTCGATTGTGCTGGGAGGCCAGTTACCTTGGAAGGCTGCTGGCTCAGACTGGTCATGCCAATGTTCTGCATTGAACGCGGTTTGCAGAGCAACCGAGCAGTAATGTTTTCGACCGGCTGCGTGTGTGGATACTCTATGTCTGGGAACACCGTTTTCGTCCTGAGAGTAGAAGAACAGGCTACCCTGTAGATCGGGATTGTATAAGTCTTTCAGGAGTTTAGTAACAACGCCAGAGGTAAATGCTGTCTTTTCGTGTTGCTTGCGCTTAGCCTTTTGCTGAATTTGCTGGAAGACTTCATCTTGTGTCAAGAGTGACATCGTTATTGCGGTATAAGGAAATGGTAGCAAGGCCTCCGGTTGATCTGGAATATGACTCCCTTCTGACCAGAACAAACATACTCGAGGTATTTACGCATCGAGGCCATATCGCCATGCATTGTGACATTGTGAAAGGGGATATCGTATCGTGCCAGTGGAATCGTCTGTTCCATAAAAAGACTTGAATCGCGCGCTGTGAAGTCTCGACTGCGGTCGCAGGGGCGTTTCACAGTGGCCATGCTGGAAGAAAGAATGATTGCGCGACGAAAAGTAGTCCACTGTATGCTTGGCACGTCCGCGCTCTCGCACAATCTAGAGCGTCGAGCCTATAGCATGTGATCTGGGCTCCGGCGCCTGCCTGGTGTGGACATGTCCAAGGCTTGGAATTGACGCTAACGGGGAACAGCTGCGGAGAAATATCGCAGGATAGATGCTGGTTAATATACGTTCTCCTCCGTGTCGTGATAGGGCTAGACGAATGGTTGGTACGTAGAGCATGCTCAGATGTACTCAGCAGTGCGATCTGCAACGCCACGT